TCTCTCTCTCTCTCTCTCTCTCTCTCTCTCTCTCACACACACACACACACACACACACGCACACACATTTTTTTCAAGACAGAGTGTCTCTGTAGCTTTGGAGGCTGTTCTGAGACTCACTCTGTAGATCAGGCTGGCCTCGAACTCAGAGATTCATGTGCCTCTGCCTCCCAAGTACTGGGATTAAAGTCGTGTGCTACCAACACCTAGATAATTTTTTTGAGTTTTTAAGACAAGGCTTGGCTATGCAGCCTAGGCTGTCCCTGAACTCATAATTCTCCTGTCTTAGCCTCATGAGTGCTTGATTACAGGAGTGTACCTCCATGCTTGGTTGATAACATGGATTTTTATTTAAACAGATGTGATTTCTGAGGGAACAAAAGGTAGTGATAAATTTCATAGTTTCCTGAGATTGCTTTCAGTAATTTGACATTCTTATTTTGCCAAAGCAGTTTGTGAACCTTCTGAAATCACCAAAGGAAAAGTAATCTTGGGTGAGAGTTTTCTTTTGCCTGAAGTGGTCTCAGCCAAAATGATCTAAAATACAGCTTAGTATTGTGTTTAACTTAATTTCTCAACACAGCCTTGTCCTGTGTTTGGCTTGAAAGAGAAAAGAAGCGCTTGGGTGTACAAACTCATGGCAGCATGGATTTCACAGTTGCTTTTTTGTATTTTTACAATGTCTGTATCTTCCATGCACAGAACCAACACAGAACTACACATTGTTTTACCTCTGCCAATGTTTCTTGTTTGTTTCTTTGAGACAGGGTCTCATGTAGCTCAGGCTAGCCTTAACCTCACTAGCAGAGGATAGCCTTCAGGTCGTCATCCTCCTACCTTCACCTCCCAAGTGTTGGCTTTATAGGTATGCACCATAATCCCTGGCTAAGACTTTTTTTTTTTTTACTTTGTGTTACACAACACCTTCTAGCATGAGTCACTAACATAATGTACTCTAAATACAAGATGAACCCAGAGCTGTATGTGGTTGTGCATCTCTATAATCCAGCACTGGGAAGGTTGAGACAAGAGCACATCCTGTGTGAAACCATGATGCACTGCAGAGTGACGCCCTGCTCCAATAAGTAAATACATCAAGTATGTAATATAAGACATTGTGTTAGCTAAGAAGGATTCCTCTGAAATTTTCAGTTGCTATAAAGGATGGTTTGACTGTGGGATTTTAAAAGCCTTTTTTGTTTTTGTTTTCTTTTTTGTTTTTTGTTTTCAAGACAGGTTCTCTCTGCATAGCTCTGGTTGCCCTGGAACTTGCTCTGTAGACCAGGCTGGGCTTGAACTCACAAAGATCCACCTATCTCTGCTGGGATTAAAGGTGTGTGCCACCACTGCCTGACTTTAAACGCCTTTTAAAAAGTAATGGCTTTTCTTAATATGCTCCCTCAACTATGTAGTATGGTATCGTATATACTAATGGAATGGAATAGACATGGAGTTCCAGGGACAACCAATGCCAGGCTTGGTGGCTCACATCTTTAATCCCAGCACTAGGAGGGCAGAGACAGGCAGATCTCTGGTTCAAGGTCAGTCTGGTCTGTAAAGTAAGTTTCAGGACAGGCCAGGTAACACAGAGAAAGCCTGTCTTGAAAAAATGTAAAAACAAACAAAAGAGAACAGAAAGGAACAAACAAGGATGGAATTTGAATTTGATGAATCATCAAAAGAACATAAAAAAAAAGCAATGTGTGACATTTGATTGGCACTTTGTCATTTTCAAATTTCTTCCTAATAGTGTAGTGATGCTGGCCTTTTTTTGTATAAATATTTGATCTGCAAGACTCGCATTGTACAAGGAAAGTATTGACTCCTGCAAAAGGCCTCTGACCTCCACACGTGTGCTGTGCACACATGCATCTATGCTTGAGCGATAGTAATTTTTATATTTTGTGGTGCATATTAGTACATACACATGATGTAGTGGGTTCAGTTTTGGAACTTGGAAATCAATTACTGTAAATTCTAGTATGGCTTTTCTTGTTGTAACTATTTGTTCTATTTATGAAGTAGAATGAGCTACCAGTATTAAGCATCCTGTAGATACTGTAAATAATTTTGGTCATTCTGACTCCCTGGTTATCTAACAGATAAAGTAAGCAAGATCTGTTTCATTGAGTGATGTCTGCATATTTTGTCTTTTTGGATACATGTTTCTAACAGGAATAAAATTTTTTATTATTATTATTATTATTTTTTTTTTTTTTGAGACAGGGTTTCTCTCTGTAGTCTTTGCTGACCTGGAACTCGCTCTGTAGACCAAGGCAGCCTCAAACTTAGAGATTCACCTGCCTCTGCCCCCTAGTGTGGGGATCAAAGAATGTACTACCATGCCTGGCAGAAATCTTTTTTTTTTAAATTAATTTTATTATTGTATTTATGTGAGTGTTTTGCCTGTAGGTATGTTTGTGCTCCACCGGAAGCCAGAATTGAGTCTCCTGGAATTGGAGTTAAACATGGTTTTAAGCCATTATGTGTGCTGGGAATTGAACTTGGGTCTCTGCAAACACAGCAAGTCTCTTAACCACTAAACCATCTCTTACGCTCCAGGAATTAAGTCTATAAAAAATTATTTATTTACTTTAAAAATATGTATTTTAATTTGTGTGTGTGTGAGTGTGTGTGTGTGTGTGTGTGTGTGTGTGTGTGTGTGTGTGTGCATGTGTCAAGGTGTGTATGTGATGATCAGAGGACAAACTGTAGAATTTAGTGTTTCTCTCTCTCTCTCTCTCTCTCTCTCTCTCTTGGTTTTTCAAGGCAAGGTTTCTCTGTGTAGCCCTGTCTGTCCTGGAATTAGCTCTGTACACCAGGTGGACCTCAAACTCACAGAAATCCACCTGCCTCTGCCTTTTGAGTGCTGGGATTAAAGGCATGAGTCTCGCCACTCCCCCGTCTCTGTCTCTGTTTCTGTCTCTGTCTCTAACTTATACTTCATGTGCATTGGTGTTTTGCCTACATGTATGTCTGTGTGAGGATTTTGGATCCTCTGGACCTAGAGTTACAGACAGTTGCCATGTAGGTGCCAGGAATTGAATCTGGGTCCTTTGGAAGACCAGCCAGTGATCTAAACCGATGGCCCATCTCTCCAGCTCCACACTGCTTCTCTTCTTTCACTATGTGTGGCCTACATATTGAACTCAGGCTGCCATACTTCCTAGCAAGCACCTTTACCTCGGTCAGCCTAAGGAATGAAATTTTTTTGTGGGGGAAGGGTGGTTACTTTTTAGGGAGACAGGGTTTCTCTGTGTAGCCCTGGCTGTCCTGGAACTCACTCTGTAAACCAGGTTGGCCTGGAACTCACAGAGATCTACCTGTCTCTGTCTCCTTAGTGCTGGAATAAAAGGCATGCATCACCATTGCCTGGCAAGGAATGAAATCTTAATGGGTCCTATTTATTATTCTTACTCATGAGTTTATACAGTAGAAGAAAGTTGTTGATGTTTATTAATTTCCAGTTTCCCTTTCTTTAAAATATGGGTCTTGCTAGGTCACCCAGGCTGATTTTGAATTTGTGACTCCCCTGTCTTTGTTTATGAAATGTTGGGATTACAAACCTGAGCCACTTTGCTTGGCTTCATTTTTTCCCCCATGTTTTAATTTTTAAAATACATTATATTTGCTTGCTTAAACATAATTTTTAGGACAAAAAACCGAATATAATAGATCTGAGTAAAGTCCTTCTTTTTGGATCTATCTTGGTCAGTGTATAAAGGAGGCACTATGTGTTCATTTGACTAAAGGCCCCTCAAGGCCTGTCTTAACCTCCAGCCCTGTGAGTGAGCATGTTATTACACATGCAGAAAGGACTTCAGGGGTTGGGTACAATGTAACCCCAGGGTTCTTCATGAGAAGAAAGCAGTGCAATGCAAGTATGAGGTGAGAGGGGTCTACACTGCTGGTGTGAAACGGAGAATGGTTCTATGAAGCAAGGGATCTGGGAAATGCTTCAGGAATCTATGAAAGTCAAGGATCTGAATTTTTCTTCAAGTCTCCAGAAGGAACACAGTTTTGCAAATAGGGCTTTAAGATTTTTGATTCCAAAAGTCTATCAGAGAAAAGTCTATTACTTAAGCCAAAAGCTTGTGGTCATTTGTCACACTACTTTAAGAACGTGTACAGGCCACAGCTAATGATTTGTGTGCTTTCTCAAATGAAGTGTCATACCGGTCATGTTGTTTCAAACAATAACTTTGCAGAAAAAAAAAAAGAAGCCAACTATGAAGCAAGTGTTTGAGAAAAGACATTTTTCTTTATGTATTTGTAGATATGACCTCTGAAGTAGAGTTACCTTTGAGAGTCCATGAAGGAATACATTTCAAAACCTCATCTTCAAAAAGGAGTGAGGAAGATTCAGAGTCATGGGTGGACTCTGAAGGGCCTGCTGTGGCAGAAACTGACATGTCTGTGGAAGGTGCCTTGCTCCATAGTCAGCTGGTTTCTCAAAAAGGTAAGAGATGGTTATGTGTTCCAATTCATCATCTGAAGAAGAAATTAGATTCAGAAATTATATACCGAGTGGTGATATGTTTTATTTCTAAAACAACAGAACATGATGCAGAGTTTCAGATTCTGAAGTATTTATTTCAAATCGACATCTACGGATTCATGAATCTTGCTTTTTCATCAACTGAAATTCTTATAGAAAGGGTGAGTCAGATTTAAAATTTTTGTCTAATTTAGTGTGCCCTTGCTCTCTCTGCCCCCCTCTCTTTGTGTGTGTGTGTGTGTGTGTGTGTGTGTGTGAGTCACAATACATATGTGGAGGTCAGAGGACAATTTGTTCTCTCCTTACACCATGTGAGTCTTAGGCATCAAAACTGTTAGTCTTGGTTAGTCTTGGCAGCAGGCACCTCTACCAGATGAGCCATCTCAGCCACCCTATGGAGTTTTAAATCTTTTGTAATCATTTTTCTTATAGGGTTGAGCATCTCTTCTCTCTACAAACCTCACAGTGTTTCCCTTTCTATGAAATCTTATGTGTGAGTTCTCCGTAGATAAAGGTTTTGTTAATAGATGTTGTTAGGAATATTTGTTTTTCAAATCAAGGTTTCTCTGTAACCCTGTCTGTCCTGGAGCTCACTCTATAGACCAGGCTTGCTTCAAACTTGGAGATCTGCCTCCCTCTGCCTCGTGAGTGCTGTGATTTAAGGCATGCACCACCATGGCCCAGTAGAAATTTTTTTTAAAAAATATTTTGAATAATGCTTTTCTGTTTTTTTTGGTTTTCTTTTTGGTAAAATTATACAAAATGAGTCGATTAGAAATAGTATGAGTTAAAGAGTCTTGAGCAAATTGCAAATTGTTACTACCAAATGACAGTGTGATCTTGAAGTGTCATAATAAGAATACAAAATCATGGGCTAGGGAAATGGCTCAGAGGTTAAGAGCACTGGCTGCTCTTCTAGAGGTCCTGAGTTCAATTCCTAGCACCCACAACCATCTATAGTGAGATCTGGTGCCCTCTTCTGGCCCGCATTCAGAGCATTCATACATAAAATATAGATAAATAAAAAAGAATACAAAATCAACCAGAAGTGTGATACTTAATTCTCATCTTTAATAAACTTATTATGAAATTAGATATAGTCTTGCAACAAGGCCACACTTTTTTTATTGGTTTTTTTTTGAGACAGGGTTTCTCTATGTAGCTTTGGAGCCCATCCTGACACTTGCTCTGGAGACCAGGCTGGCCTCGAACCCACAGAGATACGTCTGCCTCTGCCTCCTGAGTGCTGGGATTAAAGGCGTGCGCCACCAACACGTGTCAAGGCCACACTTTAATATTTAGCACAAAAGAAATCTTCTGCAGTGGGACAGTGATGGTACACATCTTTAATCTCAGCACATGGAAGGCAGAGGCAGGTAAATCTCTGAGTTCAAGGTTTACAGAGTGAGTTTTAGGACAGCCAGGGCTACACAGAGAAACCTTGTCCCAGGGAAAAACAAACAAAAAGAAAAATCCTCCTCTGAAAATTATACCAGAGAAATTAAGAAGTTGAAAAGATAATTTACTAATCAGAGCATGATATTTTAGTCTCTATAACGTATTTATTTAATGAAACATACTAAGCATGCTTACTTTTGTGGGCTTAGTAAATATAGTCAATTATATTTCCCTTAAGTATCTTGGTTGAAATTATTTAAACATGAAAATAGTGAATTTAAATTTATTTTAATTATCTTGTGCTCTTGAAAAGTTACGTCTTCTTTGGAGAAGCCATCTCAGTATTAAACCTTCAGTGTTAGGGCCTGAGACTAGCTAACAAGCCTCTGGTGAAGTGGTCTTGTACATTGTTTTTTAAAAGTCATTGTTGGGCCTAGAGATGGTGGAGCATGCCTTTAGTCCCAGCACTCTGGAGGCAGAGGCAGGCAGATCTCTGTGACTTTGAGACCAGCCTGGTGTATGGAGTAAGTTCCAGGATAGCCAGAGCTACACAGAGAAACCCTGACTCGTAAAAACAAACAAAACAAAGTCATTGATTCGCTGGTAGTAGCATGAATATTAAAAACCCAGAGAAGGTTGAGGTTAAAGCTGAAGATGGAAGAAGCAAAGAGGCCAGCATCTAGAGAGTTCTCACCTCTACCAACACTCAGACCAAAAGAGGGATCCACTGAACCTCAGCTCCTACCTCCTCCTGCCTTATATTCTTCTCTCATGCTGGGGTTAAAGGCATGGGATCCCAAGTGCTGAGATCACCTTTGTGTGAGCTCTATTTCTCTTTTACACTGATTGACTCTCCTGTAGCTCAGGGTGGCTTTGAACTCACATCTGCCTCTGTCTCCTGAGTCCTGGAATTAAAGGTGTGTGCTACCACTGCCTGGCCTCTATGGCTAACTAGCGCGGCTAACTTTGCACTCTGTTTTTCAGGCAAGCTTTATTTGTTAGATTATAGACACTGGTGATGTGGACTAGTGATGCAACTCCACTGAGGAGAGAACTTGCATGCGTTGCACAGGTGTTGGGTTCAATGTCTCAGTACTGAAAACAACTGTGACTAACAAAAAACATCGAACACACACACACACACACACACACACACACACACACACACACACCAATTGTCAATATTTAAAATGTGAGTTCATTTAACAATTCCGGCTTCTCTCAAAAAGCTAAAAGATTGTTGTAGAAACGTCTCTAGTCTGGCAACCAGAAGCTCAAACTGGTAGCAATTACAAATGTAGACTTGTGCTGTTCAACTGCTTGCATGGATTTTGCCTGCTTGGCTTCTCTGGGGCGCTTGGCCCACAATCATAGGATTAAATGTTCTGGAGAGCTTTTAACAAACCTGGAACCTAGCAATCTGGCACAACTTTGAGGCACCCATAACAGATTTGAAAAGCTTCTGCAGACAAAAAAAATTGGATCAATTTTCCAGTTAATCTTGAGTGAGATTTCTCTTGCCCAATTGAGGTGATTGTTTCAATTAATTAGTGTTTCAGGTACCTTCCTTGAATCACTCAAGTAATAGAAGCCAGCACAGCTTTATATCAACTTTATTTTATAGCTGAGAAGACTCTGGAGATTCTAACATTCATTTACTCCACAGAATGCTTCATTTAAAGGTGTCAAACAAGGAGATGGCCCATTCCTGTTGAACAGGTAGCTCCTGATTCAATATATTCTGAGAACAACTCTTACGTCATACAGAAAATAGCAATGTGGCACAGCAGTGCTGATTTCCTTCCAAAGGAGGAGTGCTTTTATGTCTGTCACTAGTGCCGAACTAAGTGGGAGCAGCTAGTCCTTACAGCCCCAATACAGGGCCTTCAGGAGGGAAACCAGTTTCTAGGCCATGGAGTAGATTTTCTGGTTAGCAATGTCTAGAGTCAGTGGATGCTCTCTCGTAGCTGTTACGAGCACTAATAACATTTGCTTGAATGTTCCCTTGAAAGTTGGTCCTTTATAAGATTATAAAATCCCATGTCTATTTATGGAGAACAGTCTTTGAATATCTTTCATCTGGTAGAAATTTATGTGAATAGACCCTAGGATAAAATCTTTAGTGTTTCAGTAGTTAGTAATCTTAGGATTTTTCTTTCTAGTTGTGGATTTTAATATGATGTATAATATTTAGGAAAATACCTACATACAGGCACACATATATTTCATAAGTTATACGTCCATGAAATTGGATTATGGGTTGGTAGTCACAGCTCCACCTATAGCACCCCTTTATCTCAGTGTCAGAACAAGATCACACTCTGTGGACACAGAAGTGCAGAAGGTATTAAAATCTGGAATCTTTCTCAAGGATATGATGTATTTAAGAGAACTTTATTTACATGTTAGGGTATTTTAACATGAAATTCCTAAGATATGGACCCAGAAGGTCTGGATGAAGAGGTAACTATGTCAATGATTGTAATGTGTTCAGAAGTTAGATTGAGGATTTTTCACTGACTATTAAGTTTACGATTTTTGCTTTGGAGAAATTTTTGCTATAGATATGCTTGGGTTTTCCTTCTTTCTAAAACGTCACTTGTCTCATTTCTGCTTTAGCATTTGGGATGGTAACTACTGCAGATAGGAAAGGGGGAACACATGAACATAGGAAAGACAGGCAGAGCAAAGCAATTTTTTTCTTTTCTATTTACAGATCCTAAAATCCCAGTAAGATTCTGGAGCTCGTTAAAGATGCCCAGACTCACTGAACAATTTTTATTTGAGTAACATTGTTGGAATGGAAGCTTTAAACACCTTTGAAATTCTAAAGATAAAAGTTTTAATCGCACTTCTGACTTTAGCATTCACATAAGCTAATTTCAACGCAATCGTTTGAAAGTCGTGCACTACCTTAAACCTGGAGTATTGAGCAACTTCTGCTATCTCTGATAGTAGCAGTTTCTGAAACTCCCTAGGGTGATGTGGCAAAGAACAATTTGAGTTTCAACAAAGTAGGCCTCAGTGTGGTCTGAAGTCAGAGGCTGTAACTGTGGATGTTTCTGATTTTGTGTGTGAGTGCTTGTGGCATGAAAGGGATGTTTTCACTAGAAGATTATATTGCAGGAATTTACAAAGAGTTTATGATTTCGTTTATCAAGTTCTCTTGGGCAGCTGCTCCTCTTTGAATGGCTTCACTGAAGTTTGGGATAAGATGATGGCGTCGATAAAGAAGACATACACTAGAGACAGGTTATTTTTTAAACCTTATGTTTAAGATCATCTCTCCCAGTACTTCAGGCAATGGCTGCAGAAACAGAGCCCTAAATTTAGAGGACAAGCTGCTACATTTAGTTCTTTTCTCAGTGAGCGCCTGGTGCTGGGCTTGATTTAGGTACCTGGGCGCCAATGGATTTAAGCCCTGGACGCCTGCCTGACTAGTAACCACCAGGTGAACTCAGGTGAGTGAACCTGAATGTTGGGCATAGGAGGATCGAAGAGTGCTTGAACAGGAGAGGTTAAACTCTGACCAGAGCGCAGTTGACCCTAACGCCTCGGTGTCCAGAGTTCGAAGTGCAGAAGCGTCGGTTGGTTCGCCAAACTATATTCTGACCGGGACTATGACAGAGGTCGGTGTCTGCCTAGGAGGGAGGGTTCCCTTATGTGGTTTTTGGACTGGAGAGGATAGGACAGAGTGCGATAGCAGCTGGGACGAGGGGGGCTGGGCGCTTTCCCTCCGGGGCTGTACCCCAGGCCTCTGGGT